GTTATATTATTTTAAAAGTTTAGAACAAAATTAATAAAAATATAAAAAAAAAATTATTGCAGTAAAAGAATGTATAATTCACATGTTATTTTTAACCAATTAATATTATAAAATAAATGTAACTAATTGTGAAATAGAATAACTTTAAATGCTTCAATTTTTAGATATTATATTCTCTTTTTTAATATATTTTCTTCATGCATTATTAAACATAATAAAAAGTGACATGAGATAATGTAGTAATTTTTTTTTCAATTTTTATATAATTTTTTATAGACAAATATATATTACCTTATATTATTAAGACAAGAAAAAGATAGGAGAAATAGCTGAATTTGTAGAACTTAATTAAATAAAATATAAACTTTTAGTGTAATGATTTTTTTCAACCAAATTATCATATTTTTTAATGATTTTTTTTGTGTGGAATGATAATAATTTTTTTAATATAATATGTTTGAAATTGTGACTAATTTGTTCTGTTTAAATTTATTAGAATTTTAATTATTTTTTAATAGTTCTAAACTCAATTTTTATTTATTAAGTCTATATTATTTTTTATTAATAATATTAAAAGATTTACTAAAACTAAATTACTTATATTAAGTTTATAAAAGATATAAATAATTTATATAAATAGTATGTAAATCACTTTGTTATAAAATGATTCATTTAACATAGACGTACCTTTTACTTCGGTCATCGCATGCCTTATTTGTACTTCAACCACCAAGCCTCCTTCCTCGTTATTCATGCTTTCTATAGCAAGTATTCTAAGTTATCCCTAACGATAGAAATAAAAAATTAAATATATTAGAGGTTTTTGTATTTTGAAAAATTTTAATTTTAGTCTCTATATTTAAATTTTTAATATGTTTTGTATCCCTAGTGATGATGTAATAAACTGAAACGTTATCATATACTATTTTTTATTATGTATAAGTTTTTTTTTTCCATTAAGGCACATTATCACTATAGAATAAAAATATTGATTTTTTAAAAATTATGAACTAAAATAATTTTTTTAAAAATAAATAAAAATAAGAGTATTAAAAATATATTTAAGATTAAATAATAATAGTAGTAATAATAATATTAAACATAGTTAATAATATAATGTGGTAGGTAAACAAGTGATAAAAAGTAAAAAAAGTATCAAATAAATAATTACTTTATAAGAAGTCTGTAAATAATAATTGTTAAGTTATAGTGGACTGAAAAGAAGAATCAAATGTCCGCAAGTGCATGCATGCATTACTATGGGGCCAATGTCGTTGCTTTGATGAAAGTCAACTCATTATAAGTGCGTGTAACTCATATTTAAATACATAATTCTTATCACTGTCATGGTTAATACTCTCCTTTTATTATTTAATGATTAAAAATAAATATATTTATACAATTATTTTTCTTACATTCATTTTTTATATTTCTTTTTTCAATCTCTCCTTTTATTATTTTATGTATCACATTTATTTGTAATTTAGAATAAAGCATAACTATAATGTTATCATATGTAAAATATCATCCATTAAGTTTTTAAATTTTATTACTGATATTTAATTAATTTAAAATATATACAATCAAGTTGAGACAACCTGAAATCGTTTTCAAACTACGTAAAGTCTAATTTTAAAAATCTCAACCTATCAAAATTAACATTACACTAAGATGGGGTTGGTAGGATAAGTCGAGACTTGTATACCCCATCTCTGAATTTCTCCACTCCAAACACACCTTATTTAAAGAGTGTTAACATAACTCAATTAAAAAATATAACTTGTGGTTGTAGTTAAGATGCAAAACCTAACTTCATTAATTGAAATAAGATATTGTTAACTAGTGATTAAAAAATTTATAAATAATAAAAAATTATCAATTTTTTAAAAAAGATATTAAAATATATAAAATCAATATTTTTTTAATAAAATATAATAATAAGTTTTCTTTAAAAAAAATTATTTTTCATTAGAATATGCAAATGTAAATGGTTGTATGTAAGTCCAACTGATAATTATGAGCATTGTGGCATAGAAAGTGAAATAAATATTTCCGGGGATGACTTTGGGGTAATAATAGTGATTATCAAATTGGATGGCAAAATTGGATCCAGGTCTCTTAAAAGTAAAGAAATATATAAAATTTAAAATTGTTTTTATTTAAAAATTAGATATATGATAATTACTTAAATTTAAATCCATATTAAATAAATACTACCTTCAGTCCTATTTATAAGAATCAAACAATTAATTCATCAAAGTCAAGAAAATAATCACATACCATAAGTATTAATATTATTTAAAAAAGTGCATTATATTAGATGACTAAGCAAGTGACTTGTATATAAAATAAATGAATACTTTATAATAAATTAAGGATATAAAAGACATTTAGCAATTAAGATATTTGAAAATAAATATTTATTTCTTATAATTATGACAAAATGTTGACCGTTGTTTCTTATAAACAAGAATTAAATCTTTTAGTATTATATCTAAATTACTGCTGCAACTGAAATATTGAAATAAGGTCATTTTTACTGTCACATTCAAATTTAGGAATAAACACAACTCGGAATAGTTTATGAGTTGGTTTTGATGGTAGAATAAAATTTATCATGTTTAATTTACATAAATTAAAAACATATTTTACCCATTAAAATGAATTTGTTTTATCATTTACTTGATACGAGTCTTTCTAATATTTGTACCACAAGAAGTGTCTTAATATTCTATCTAAATTATCCTACTATCCACAAATAATAGTCATTTAAGACAACCTTAAACTAAACGTAAAGAAATGTTAACAATGTCATATTCTTTCAAACATTCCGTCTAAATTATTGAAATGGGGTTATTCCTCGGTTAAACATTCGTAAGAATAGGAATAGAAACAAATTTAGGTTATCTTTTATTTTAAATGATCCTAAATTATTTCTTTAAAAACTCACTTTATAGCCTCTTACATAACTTGATAAAATATCTCCAAATAAATAAATAAATGCACATCATTAAGATATTAAAATAAAATAACAACTATAATAGGATAATATAATTAATCGAATAATATTTAAATTAAAAACAAGATAACTATGAGGAGTGTATCGGTAGCAACTCTTGGTGTTCATCAAGTTCTATCGGTTTCTCTGTGAATCTTTCGTGTTTTCAATTATCGTTTAAAGTGGTTCTAATGCATAAATTATAATTAAGTAGCATTAATATATGTATTTAAACGCAAATTCAAACATTAGATGATCAGGACTTTCATTTAATAATTATTATTTTCGTTATCAAATTCTAAGCTGCTGGCATGGAATTGTAGTTGTTTTTTCGTTATCTCGTGTGATTCGCATAATTTGTTTTTTTAGTAATTTAATAATATATATATACTTTTCATCTTGAGATGATATATTTTTTATTTGTTGAGTTTAGTTTTATTACGTTTTTGGTATCCTTTTCATACAAAGAAACTATAGTTTTATTACATTATTATTATCATTCTTACATCCACTAAGCAATGAAATCTCAAAACGATAGCACTAACGTAAAAAGTTCAAGTTGATACAATGAATTTGATTATATATACTTAATTTCAAACTATTATTCAGTGTCTTAGTTTGAATATATACACTCTAATAGTATTCATTCTTAATTTTTCAAACTATTATTTTAGGGTTATCATTACTCACTGTCTGAATGTTAAACGTCGAAATTCGAACATCTCACAGGTACATCGGTTACTACTGTCGGTATAAAAATTTTGTTGATAATCAATTTGTAAAAATTATAGTTTTTAAGTTAGGAGGCATATTTTGATCTTACTGAATTCTCAAGATATAAGTTATCTAAATCTTTTAATATACAAAAAGCATTATTTAGCTAATTTTTAAAATTATTTTTTTTCATTAATAATAAATAAAAATAGTTTAACTTTGGTTCATTATTAATATACAGATTTTTATATTGTTAATCAATAAAAATACTGTAGATATAGTTTTTATATTAATTATTATAAAAATTAATAATTTACTAACATGACGATTTATAATTAGTTAACGGTATAATATTTTTTACACTATTAATTTTTTAAATTAAATTTATAACATGCTTTTATTTTTGGATGAAAGAGACCAAAGCGCAAAGCAAAAAGAAACAAATTGTGTAGCAGACGTGTCCAAATAACTGAGCAATGCTTTCTGCTTACGTTATTTCTTTTTTACATAGCACACACTGCACGGATACTAAAAATTAGACTTAATTCAAGTTTCTCACTTCTCTTTTTCCTGCCAGTTTTCAAAAGCCAAATGACACCATTAATATATTAGTATAAACAGTATTATTACCAAGTGTTTTGTGTATTGTAAGAATGTTTTTAACTTAAATGAAATTTACAAGTATAAATTGAAGGCATTTAAAATCATAAAAGAAATACAAATTTATTACTTTAAATAAACAAGTAGCTTAGATTTAAGATAGAAAAGAATTAAATTTTAAAAATTTTAAAGATAATTAAATACAAGGTGAATGATAATTGTTATAATGAAAAAAAATAGAATGATAAATAAAAAGTTTTAAGAATTCTAGAGAAAAAAATAAAATAAAATAACATATATTATATATATAATTTTTGTTCCATAATTAATTATATATGTTATCCCATTTCAGCATTAATTTGACTTTAAAGAGCAAGAATTAACTACTGAAAACATTTTAAAATATTGGATAGTAAAAATGGGAAACAAACATACCCTTAATTCATAAATTCCAAGGCTCAAGTAGCATGGTTTTCTCAAGAAGAGGTTGCCACGGAACGGAAAACAAGTGTGAATCTATATAAAGCAGTTTCATGTGAAAGTAGTGTGGAAGTACCTGTCTTGTCTTCTCACACGCACAGTACAAAAATGGATGGCCATCTCCAACTCTCTTCGTCAAACGACGTCGTCGTTCTCGTCAACGGCGACTCTGCTCCCAATGCTGGCTGCCTTTCCCCTCTGCCACAGCATCAGCAGGTTATGTTTCCCACATTAATTCATTTACGATTAATTAATTTTACGATCTGCGAATAACAATAACATAATAACAGGTGCAGCGGGGGAAGGAGAAAAGGGACAATTTTGTTCTTGCATACAAGACCCTGGGTGTGGTATTTGGAGGACTTGTGACGTCACCTCTCTATGTTTACCCTTCAATGCCTCTCAACTCTCCAACAGAAGATGATTATCTTGGCATTTACAGCATCATTTTCTGGACTCTTACTCTCATAGGCCTTGTCAAATATGCCAACGTTGCTACCAAAGCTGATGACAACGGTGAAGGTACTTGTACAATTTCATTGCTTTCTATTATTTATTGCTATTCACAATAACGCTCAACTCGTTTCTCTTCCAGGGGGGACTTTTGCTTTGTATTCATTGCTTTGCAGGCATTTCAATATTGGAATCCTGCCTTCTAAGCCTGTTGCTTTTAACTCCTCTAAGGTTATTCGAACGCGTCCTACTTTCCTTGCCACCTTCTTTGAAACAAGCCTGGTTGCTCGGAGGGTGTTGCTTTTTGTTGCTATGTTGGGTACTTGCATGCTTATTGGCGATGGTATACTTACGCCTGCAATTTCAGGTTTGCTTTCTTCCCTCCTTCTGAAAAGGTTCGCTGCCTTTTTTGTTGCTTACATATGTTTTTATTCAACTTTGCTTTATTTGTTTTCAGTGCTGTCAGCAATGGATGGACTAAGAGCACCTTTTCCTTCAGTAAGCAAATGTAAGTTTTTTTGGGCCTAAAACATAAGTATACTCAGTGGAGATGCAATACTGTCATACTTATGAAGACAATATAATTAATTTAACGATTTTGTTATTTTGTGCTGCTCAAAATGGGATGTTTTTGTTGGAAAAATATTTATTACACTTTTTTTGTATTTCTAATATCATAAATGTTTCTTTAATAAAAACTTTTCATGTTTTAGTTGCTTAAAATCAACTGTGATCCGAGAGATGATGTTAACAAAATTCTTAATTTAATGAGATGCAGAAGATGTGAGAACTGGCTGCCAGCAGCATCGTAGACTAATACTTGCATAATACAAAGACAAAACATATGAATATAGCAGTATAGGAAGAAATTATAGAAAACTTATTTTGGGTCACTGTTACTGTGACTGGGATACCTACATAGGTTAAAAAGATTGTGAACATCATGCTTCTTTAAAGTCTACCTTGAACAATTTAACGATTTGAATAAAGAATCTGTTTGGTGAGTAAAAAAGGAAACCTTTTATCATAAGGCATTTTGAGATTATTTCAAAATTAGGTTTATTTAACTCTAATTTCTGTTTTTTGCATATCCTGTTGCAGCATTTGTGGAAATACTCTCTGCAGTTGTCTTGGTGTTTCTGTTCTTGTTGCAAAAATTTGGTACATCCCGTGTTAGTTTCCTCTTTTCTCCAATAATGGGAGCATGGACCTTGAGTACCCCACTTGTAGGAATTTACAGCATCATACACCACTATCCTAGTATATTTAAGGCCTTATCTCCACACTACATATTCCGTTTCTTTTGGAGAAATGGAAAATCTGGATGGCTTTTACTTGGTGGTACTGTCCTTTGTATTACAGGTATTTTCTCGAGGAATGCTTCTAAATTCACCCTATTTGATTATTCTGTTGCTATTTTTTTATCTTTTGAAACAGAGGCTTCACAAAGTTATTCATTCTAATACTCTATATGTCTATGACCACCTTATTTGGCTTTACCGTTGCTCTGATTTCTTTTTGAACTATGACACATGGCATGATTTTGCTTCGCGACACTTATAGTTGTGTTGTTGATTCCTAAAGTTTAAAACTATACATAAGATATATGATATATTTCAAGGTATTTTTCATTATGTCTTTTAATCTTATGATTCAATACAATTTACAATTCATAATTCAAGAATTAGGTTGGTGATTCATGACTTGAATTTCAATTTGCTAGCCTTAAGAGAGCCTCTAGAATATGTGCAAAAAATACTAAAAGATGGAAGATTGTCTAGAAGGGGACTGGGCAATTCTTTTGTTGTTATGACTGCTGATATGCATATAGTGATCACTTAATGCATGATAAAATTTGATTACTTGTGGCATGTGTTTATTCACCTTTCTTTAAATGTGTATGCATGCCTATCACAATCCAGATTTTTTCCATTTGTTTTTTCTTAATTTGTTCACATTGACAGGTTCCGAGGCAATGTTTGCTGATCTTGGTCATTTCAATCAGCAGTCCATTCAGGTTGAGTTGTATATTCTTTTGGATCTATCTTTAAAGGCTGAGCTTCCTTTTTGAACACTAGTCATTTTATCTTTTCTTCGTATTTGTTATTTTGGTAACAGATAGCTTTTGTATTCACAATCTACCCATCTTTAGTTCTGACTTATGCGGGACAGACAGCCTACCTGATCAAGCATCCCAATGATCATGATGATGGCTTTTACAAATTTATACCAAATGCAGTCTACTGGCCTATCTTTGTTATTTCCACTTCAGCTGCGATTGTTGCTAGCCAGTCATTAATATCAGCCACTTTTTCTGTAATCAAGCAATCTGTAGTGCTGGATTATTTTCCCCGTGTAAAGATTGTACACACATCTCACAGTAAAGAAGGAGAAGTTTACTCCCCTGAAGTGAACTACATCCTAATGGTCCTTTGTGTTGCTGTTATTCTTATCTTTGGAGATGGAAAAGATATTGGAAATGCTTTTGGTATGTCAGTTTCTAAAACCCTTTGTTTGCATACAGTCTTAAATAATTACCACCTGAGAATTGTTTTCTGTTTAGTAATTGGAACTATGTACTATGTAGGCTGTCTTTGCAATCTTCTCATGATGTTGTAACATTTATTGCAGGTGTTGTTGTGAGCCTAGTAATGCTTATCACCACTATCTTACTTACATTAGTCATGATCATGATATGGAGGACTCCTGTTCTGCTGGTTGCTTTATATTTCTTGGTGTTTTTTGTGATGGAAGGGGTTTATGTCAGTGCAGTTTTCACTAAATTTGCTGAAGGTGGATGGATTCCTTTTGCCATATCATTTTTTCTTGCTTTCATCATGTTTGGTTGGTTTTATGGTAGACAAAGAAAGGTTGATTATGAGTTAACCCACAAGATAACCTTTGAGAGACTCCAAGAGCTTTTAGCTGACCGCAGTGTTCAAAGGGTTCCTGGGCTATGCTTCTTCTATTCTAACATTCAAGAAGGGTTGACTCCTATTCTTGGACACTACATAAAGAACATGAAATCCCTTCATAAGGTCACAATATTCACTACCCTTAGATATTTGTTGGTCCCCAAGGTTGCTCCACACGAGAGGATTGTCATCAAGAAATCAAATCTCAAAGGGGTTTATTGCTGTGTGATTCAATATGGCTATGCAGATGCTCTAAATTTAGAAGGAGACTATTTTGTCGATCAAGTCATTAATAGTTTGACACTACATATACAGAACTGTCAAGATAATCTTTCATCTGATTCTCAAGAGGTTGAAGAGGCTTCCATATTAGAAGAAGCAAGGCGCGCCGGGGTTGTTCATGTTCGAGGAAAAACAAGATTTCACATTGGCCTCAACTGTGGCTGGTTTGATAAAATGATGCTTAGTTTTTATGAAGTAATGCACAGTAACTGTAGATCTGGCCTACCTGCTTTAGGGGTTCCACCACAGCAACGGATTGAAGTTGGAATGCTATACGAGGCTTGAAGGGGTTAACTATATTCAAGCATCTAAATTTCCCAAGATTCAGCACTTACACCAGCTCACACATGCATACTTACCCAAAATGAGAGAGGGCACAAATAATTGAAGTGGGATAAACACAATGGCTCGATTAATATGTATCTTGTATCCATAGATCCTACTAGTAGGCAACATCATATCCATGTATAACAGCTCAAGTAGTCATAATTTTGACCGAAAATGATAGCAGAATTACTTCCTGTTTATGATTTTCTTATATACACATTGAACTTTAAGATATTTAACCAAAACAACGATTAATCAAGTGGATAAAAATATTTATTTTGTTAGTTGTTTGATAATATCTTAACAGTAATTCACTCAAGTAATGGCTAGTTGAATTAAATTGTAGTCACCAGTGGAGTAATGTGAAGAAATATCGTCTTGCAAATCCTTTACAGAGTGTTGCGTCAATTTGGTTTTGTAAAAGTTAAAGAAACATAAAGTCATGATTTAAATTGCTCTGATATGAACATAAGAACAATAAAAGTATAATTTTAAGGACAATATTTATCCGGTGCTTGTTATGATACTCTTAAAGTTGAAGGGACATTGAATATTCTTTTTAAATTATACTAAGATATTGAAGAATATTTATATCTTTTTCAAATATATCACTAACTTTGTTACTTTTCACCTATACAAGAATAAAGAATACTCCTTCATTCTCTAGAGTACTATAAAATTTATCTATTTGTCTGGTCCATTATTTTAATTGATTTTTTTAACGCTTAAGTATTTTAAGGAATGAATCAAAGGTGATTGTATTTTTTAATAGTATTTTTTAGTTTAAAAGTTTTTTAAAAATATTATTTGTTTTACTTTATATTTGTCTCTTAGAATATGTTTGTTTACACTTTTAAAAAGAGTTTTCTCTTTTTAAAAATTAAAACTCTTTTTAAAAATACAAACTCTTAATATTTGGTATTTCAATTTTTAATTTTTTAATATTTTTTGGTTATTAATGTTTTAATATATTTTTTATAATTACTTTTATTCTGTGAGAAATTTTTATAATACTAAATATTATTTTTGTTATTAATATTTTGCAAGGTTGGTATTATCTTTTATAAGACTACAAAATATCTGTTATTGACAAGGTTGACATCTATAAAAAAAATATTATTGTTGTTGCATGTTATTTGTACTTAAACTATTATTAATTAATTAATTTGTTTTTGTAATACCATGAAAATTTTGTTAAGATCGCAAGTTGATGGTACGATAGAAGTATCTCTGTGGTTAGGTTAATACTTCAAAAATTTTGAAGCATGAGATAAGTGATTATTATTATTAATAAAAAGATATAATTTTTGAAAGAGAAAAGTGGTGTGAAGTTTTAAGGTAACAAAAGAGTAATTAAAAAAAAAAGATTCACGTAAAATTCAAACTTTCTACTAATTAAGTTATTTCGAATTTGATATCAATAATTTTTTTTAATTAAGATGGTAAAAAATATATTATCCTCAAAAGTTATGATATCATGAAAAGGGTGTTTGATTGTATAATAATTAATAAATAATTTTCGGCAACACTTTATCCACAACTAGGCTTGAGTTTAAGAATCATCAATTATTAAAGAAAGGAAATGATATGGGTGACTGAAGGGGGGGGGGGGGGGGGGGGGGGAAGGAGTGGCTCAACAAGTTCTACCTCTGCCTTAGGTTAAGTAGAAGCGACACTTGTAATATAGAGTTTTGCTACATTCTATTGCCAAACATTTTTATCTTAATTCTTGCATAATATAAGGATGTAACTCCCTTTTATCTTTTAAATTTTGGTTGAGGTGAAATATATGCCAAATAGTAATAACTAATGGAGAAAATGCCCCATAGTAAATAATTATAAAAAAATAATATAGCTTAGTAAGTGTGCCAAAAACCAAAGACGGATGCTTTATGAAAGAAGTTTAATTGTTGAATGAAACAAGTACGATAATGTTCATAAATTTTAAGATTCAAAAAATATCTCCATCATTTAATGATCATATCGTATTTATCAAAGATGAATTCATCTTATTTATTTTTGGTGACTTCAAATTAAAGATTTATAAAATATGAATATGCGATCTGTGATATGCAAGACCTTCTTCTACATTTATGTTTAATAAATAATTTAAAAGAGCTGAGATAGGTTACATAAATGTCAAAGTGGTGATAGTCTGATAGATGAGTTTTGGGGATTTGGAAGTACAAGTTGCCATCTGAACATATGTTGTCAAACTAACACTCACCTTTGCTTTCAGTGGTGTACGACATTTTCACATTTTAACGACACTAAACAAACCATAGAAGACAACAAAAAGGCATCGTATTCATCAGCTTGACGCAGACTCTTGACAGACAGACAGTAGCAGCTTCCCAGATTCCCATCTTTTGCTGCTGTTAATGTCGGCGGTGACAGAATCGCTGCTTCCCTATGGAACCATCATGGAAGATGAACAACACCACCACCTTTCTGTTTCTGTTTCTGCTTCTTCTTCTTCTTCTTCGCAGGAACACTCCACTCCATCAGATGCTGTAATCTTCTTTGGGTTGAGTCTCGCTCTTGGAATTGCTTGTAGGCACCTCTTGCGTGGGACCAGAGTCCCTTATACTGCTGCCTTGCTCATCATTGGCATCGCTCTTGGATCCATAGGTTCTCTTCTCTTCTCTTCTGTTTCTTTATTCTTTTTCTCGGCGGCTCTTTCTCTGCTTGTCATCAAATTTTAAGCCCAAGCCAACAAAGATAGATTGACACTGAGATGTTTTAAGGCATCTTTGAGCGTTGACTTTGTTGATATGGATGTGAACTTACTCAGAATACCCTTTTTAGTGCCAACAAGGACAAAGATTGAATCAACTCCGAAAATTCCTTGTTTTCGTCCAACGACAAGGAAAAGATTTTAAGGAAAAAAGATCATACCCAATATTTTATTTTACTTGAAGGGGTAGTTCTTGTTCCTATGCCAACATGTTTGGACTACGGAGATAGAGAAAGGATTATTTCAAAGCAAAGGGAAGTAAATGGGAATCGGGTGTCTCTTTTCTCCTTTTCTTTTTTTAATAATGTATTCTTTTATCAAGAACCAAAATAGGAATAAGCTGTGTACGGTGGAACTTTCGTATTTTCTTGATTCTATATACGTTATTTTATTTTATTTTAATTTGATCTTTTTGAATTTCTTAGTTATTTGAAGCTCCAACCAAGGACACGGCCATACATAGAACATATCTCATAGAACATATTTCAGAAGATCATGATAGATTATAATTCAAATTTCAAAATAGATAAAAAAGAAAAAAAGAACAGATAATTTCTCAACGGACGTGAATTATGATGTACTGCTAGTTTGATCCTGAAGCGACACACGGAGTCGTGATAACTGGCAAAAACACAATTGTACTTCTCTAATCACATATAGCAAGACAATATTTCATCTATTTTTCTTTGAAAGTGCAAGAGTGAGTCTAGGCACAACGCTAAGGTTGTTGCTTTTTGACCTCTGGTTGAAGTATTGAAAACTATGGCAGAATAATAGAGATGGTATAGATAATGTAGTTAGTTAGTTGGTTGTTGATCTTGGTTGGTAGTGAGTTTCAGTTAGTCTTTTCCCTTGCTGTTTTGGCCTATGTATGTATTTTGTTAGGGCTTCTGCGAAGTACACTTTCAGCAATCAATTTGATACACACATTCTACATACTAATCATTTGTAGTTCACAATATGGTATCAGAGTAACAGCAAGCTGAGAAACAACTCATAACAGCAAGCTAAAAGAATAGTATGTGAAATATCATATCATATTAAGCTAAAAAAAGGAACTCATAACTCACATTATGGTACGAAAAAAAGGCAACTCATATCAGCAAGCTAATCTGATAACAACCAACTAACTATTTACATTATCTATATCATCTCTATTATTCTTCAATAAAAACAACTTCTCCTGTTCTCCACTTGTGGGATAAGGCCGCTTTCATCTGTCTTCCTTAGTCCATGCATGGTGGGATCCTCAAGAATCAGGCCACCCTTTTCTTTTTCTTTGAAAGGGCAAGTTTATGCATATCAGTATCATGTTATTGTTGCCTAAACCCATGCTTATGATTATCATGGGAATCCAATATAGATCAAACAAGATATTTTCATAGAATTGTTTTGTAATTTGCTGACTGTTATTGTTTTAACTTTTAACTAGTTGAATTGATAACTTGACTCTTTACTGGTGGATTTCTAAACAGAATATGGTACTCATCATCGGCTGGGAAAGATTGGGGATGGAATTCGTCTTTGTAAGTTTGTTCTATTTTTATTCTAGTTATTTTGAAAATTATGTACTTGCCAATAAAAGAAGAGAAGGAAATCGCTTTTTATTGTACATCTTTGTAACATCCGTGTAGACTGGGCTTTTAGAAGATGTTTCAACTTAAGAAGCTTTCATCTTCACTAGTTCTTGTTTAAAATTTATTGAAGTGATTGATATTTTCCATATGCAGGGTCAGATATTGATCCAGATCTTCTATTAGCTGTTTTTCTTCCTGCTCTCCTTTTTGAAAGTTCATTCTCAATGGAAGTTCACCAAATCAAGGTGTCTTTTCTTGGATTCTTCTGAGTACAAATTTATTTTTATTTGAGTTGTAAAGTGATATTGTCATGCTGTCATGGTAGTTCACAAACTTGATGATTTTATTATAATACAAAATTATAAAACCATCATGATTTTTATTATAATACAACTCCCCTACAAAAATCTAATAAAGTCCTATAACTGAATGACGCCAACTTGAAAACTGAGCTAAAAACTAACAATTCTCAGTCAAATATCATTTTGGCTTTGAAATCTTTAATGCACAAAATAAGAGTAAATTACATTATTTCATTGAGTTATCAGTACTCCCAACTGGAAGATGGAGATATCAAATCGACTAGATTAAACATAGATAACATTAAATGCCACTAAACAGGGAGCAAACTTGATTTTTATTATAATACAAGTCATTTAAGTATAAAATGCATGCAGAGGTGTCTTGCACAAATGATCTTACTAGCTGGTCCTGGTGTTGCACTTTCGACCGTTTGCCTTGGAGTTGTTTTGAAGGTATGTGAACCAATGTGTTTAGAATTCATCATTTGTGTCATATGATTTTAACTCATTTGTCATAATCCAGCTGACTTTTCCATACAACTGGAGTTGGAAAACGTCACTGTTGCTTGGGGGACTTCTGAGTGCAACTGATCCTGTTGCTGTTGTTGCTTTGTTGAAAGAGCTTGGTGCCAGCAAAAAACTAGGAACAATAATTGAAGGGGAATCCTTGATGAATGATGGGTAGTTTTAGTACCCTTTCTCTTCTTTAAAGTAATATCTACCCTTCAAATGAATTTTGGTGTTTGCTAACTGAATCTAGGGTGTAAGAAGTGGCTTAAAGCCTTGGAAATGTCGAACACTTGGCTATATCTGCATGTTGCTTTTTCTATTTTATTTTGTATTTGACAAAGCTTAACCTTCATTTTTGTCTAGGACGGCTATTGTGGTTTATACCCTTTTCTATCGGATGGTTCTTGGAGAGACATTCAATTGGCTTGCCATAATCAAATTTCTAGCACAAGTTTCACTTGGAGCGTAGGTTTCCACCTATTCCTTGTTGCTCTAGTGGCAAAAATTATTGTTGCTCATGTGATTCTTTGCTCGGTCCAGTGTAGGAATGGGTGTTGCTTTTGGGATTGCATCTGTTTTGTGGCTTGGGTTTATTTTTAATGATACAGTGATTGAGATTGCTCTAACATTTGCTGTTAGCTACATTGCTTATTTCACTGTAAGTACCTTCAGACTTGGATTCATCTTTTAGTAAATTTTGAGATTATATTTGGATCATGAATAATTATGAAAACTAGGATATTGGTTTTATATCCCTAATTTCTTGGACACATATTTTAGCATGATGAGAGATTATATCTGATGAAATCATGTCATCATATTTGGTTTCTGTTTTTGGTGTTATTCTGAAGTACTTCCATCTTGTGCATGGAGAAATTGATGATCAAAATCTTTTATAGGCTCAGGAGGGTGCGGATGTCTCTGGTGTTTTGACAGTGATGTCTTTGGGAATGTAAGTTGACCTTTAGTACAAAATATTTATAACACTTGGAAAATCTTATTGTTGAAATCTTTTCACAGGTTCTATTCTGCATTTGCTAAGACAGCTTTTAAGGGTGAAAGTCAACAAAGCTTACATCACTTCTGGTAACCTATACTCATCCTTGTGTATGTAAATTAGACACATTCTATGGGAGACTATTTTTATTTTTTCTATTTTTCAGTTTAGACTTAATTTAGAACAAAGAAAAGGAATTGCAAATTCTTTGTGGAACATTAAACACATTTTATACACATTTTATCAGTTCTCCTCCCCATCCTTTATTTTACATTTTTACACTTGAAGGGTTTTGACATCTTTGTGAGTTTCATCTGAGTACCCTTTTTGATTTGAATAAGGACTAGAGAGTTCTTCTGGGCTAATGTTCTTTCTCTTTATTGTTGGAATATACAAATAAAGTCCCACATTGACTAGAATAGAAAAAAATCAAAGGTATATAAGTATGGTAGATCTTTATTAGTATGAAGCCTTTTAGATGATATCTAAAAACAAAATCATGAAAGTTTAGGTACAAAATGGACAATATCATATTAATATGGAGATATGGTAAAAAGGCCATATTTATTTTAACAAGTAGTATCAGAGCTCGGATCTCGGATCTCCAAGTAGTGTCACATGCATGTGGATGTGTGTATGCAACGGTCCTAGGCAGTGTCACATGGCCAAGAACGGGCAAGGGTGCCTCCAAGGTGGGCTCTAGTGTTAGAGGACCTCGTTTGAGGGAGAGATTGTTGGGATGTGCAAACAAAGTCCCATATTAACTAGAATCACGAAGGATCAAGGACATATAAGTATAGTAGATCTTCATTAGTATGAAAGATGATGTCCAAAAACAAAACTATGAGAGCTTAGGTCTAAAGTGGACAATATTATACTAATATGGAAATATAATAAAAAATCCATACTTGTTCTAACATTTATTTGGTCTCCTGTTTTGTCCTCGCTTCACTTTAATTGTGTCATTGATAATCACATATGACAGTTACTTTTTGGAATATAAGAAATACAAAGGAAAGAAGGCAATGAAACAAACATAAAAGACATTATTTCCACTAGTAGTTATAAAAAATTTTATAAACATTGAGCAAAATGTGAAATTGATTCTTTAACGATGAATGTGTCACTAAGTAGGTCTTCTAAATATTTAGGTCGCTAAATTAGTTTTTATGGGTTGTTTGGAAAAAGGGGTTTAGAGGAAAAGAAAGAGGGGGACATATTTTGTATTTTAAATAAATATATTTAAAATTAATATTTTTCATAATAAAATATATAAATTAATATATTGACATAAATTTATTGTATTAATAATGTATTTATCATTATAAATGATATATATTTGGTTTAATTTAAAATTTAAAAATATATATTCCCTCCAAAATTTTCCTCTCAAAAATACTCCTAAAGATTTAAATTGTTACTGCATTGGTGCTGTAACAATTTTGTTGCCAAATTAGTCCTTTAAGAGTTAATTTGTCATTAAATTACTCTTTTATAGGTTTAAAATACCACCATATTGATCCTTAAAAAGGATTAAAGTTGTAGAAAAAAAGAGTTTAACTTGACAGAAAATTAAATCTTTAAGAAAAAGATCTAAAATTTCCCCAAATTAATCCTTATAAAGGACTAAAGTGGTGCAAAGAGACTAATTTGATGACAAACGCTTGGGAAGACTAACATGATAATGATTTAAATTCTTGAAGGATGAATTTGGTGACTCAAATCTTTGGAGAACCTACTTGGTGACACTTTCATCTTTTAGAGGATCAAATTGAAGGTTTTTCTTTGTAAACATTGTTTTGATGAATTTTTTTCCATGATAAATCAGTGTTATGTTTAATTTTAGCAAATTTCTTGTCCTTTCTATGTATTTTTTTTCTGTATTAATACTATTTCTCTAAAGAAAAAAAAAAAATCTAACTGGAAGTTAAAACAGTACATTAGTGTCTTACTGCTGCAACAAGATCATGTCTTAGATTTGTCATTTGAGATCCTCTCGATTTCTTTATTTATATTTTGTTGTCACATGTAATTATGTTTTAATCCTTTATTTATTTTTCTCCAGGGAAATGATTGCTTATATAGCTAATACCCTAATTTTCATTTTGAGGTAAGAGCTTAGTTGAAATCTTGAATCATAATCTATTGATATGACTTGTGAAGCAGGCTGTTAGTGGCATTTGGATTGAAAAATCTAGAATATATGTTTTCTAGTTGAACAAAGTTTTGAGCTGCTGTCAAAAATTCTTACTTGTATGTTATTACTTTAATTAATATTTCCATATTATCTTTTTGCAGTGGAGTTGTTATTGCTGAAGGAATACTAAGTGACAGCACTGTTTTCTATCATGGTAGTATTACTTGAAGAATCATTCAATATTTTCTCTTCTTTTTGCACCATTCCATGGATTGTATTCTTGGTTTTTGTTTAATTTGACAAATCTATACCATGAAATATATCAAATGCAAATACATAAAATGTTGTTAATTCATAAACATGAGTGTATTGCTCTCTTGTATGATTATGCTGATCAATCTTAATTTTGCTAGAGAAAGCTGTATTCTATAGACTTAAATTCATCTATCATTGGGGAGGGCGAGGGTATTGGCAAGTCAATACAAATTTAAAGAGATAGAATATCTTTAATATTAAGATGTCTCATATTGGTTAGAACTAGAGTAAAAATATTTTTTATAAGAGTTAGAGTAATCCTCCTTCTATAAGTTAGCTTTTGGGAGTGAATCAGACTCAAATTTCTAAACATGGTATTAGAGTCTATCCAATTTGAATGTTGGGCTACCTATAAATGTTTAGTCTTGTTAGATCACTTATGTAGATGTCCAGTCCTACAAATTTTACGTAATAGATATCCTTTCGTGAGTTAGACACAAGTTTCTTAACATTTAAATTATTACTTTTACCTTTAAATCATATATCCTCATGCTATGTTTTGCATTGCACTTGCTATCAATTGCATACGAGTTCATGCACAAATGTTCTCATGTTTTAAGGATTTTAATCTTACGATCAAAATTGATAAATGATAAATTTGTGTTTTTAGTTCTTCAGAAAGAGGCAGCCGTTACTCAATTTAGATGCTTTGATAAGCTTATGTTTTCTAGAATCTCTTGCCACTGTCACTTGCCTTTTTATTTTGTTTAAATACTTATGTTTGTTATGTCTAAAGGGAGACTACAAAATATTGGGTATGTTTTAGGAACATCGTGGACCCACCTCTTGCTTCTCTATGCATATGTTCAAGTGTCTCGATGCATCGTTGTTGGAGCATTATTTCCCTTACTAAGATATTTTGGATATGGTTTGGATTGGAAAGAAGCTATTATTCTCATCTGGTCAGGATTGCGAGGAGCAGTTGCCTTGTCACTTTCATTATCAGTTAAGGCAAGTATTTTTTGACTAGCGATGCATATTTGTAGCTATCCATATAGATATAATTCTTCATGGACAGTGCCTTGTCATTATTTACCAATGATATAGGTGCCTTTGGGATTTTTATTTTTTTTGCTGATAAAAGGAAGCACTCTTATTTTAAGGGAACATAAAAAGAAAAGGGGCAATAAGGTAAAGTCCTTCAACTAAGTAATGAAACCAACCAAAACTAAAGTACATGAAGACAATTATAGAATGTAACTAGTTATGGAATTCAAATAATAATGGTATATGAATTAGGTATAATGAGTTATATTCATCTTCCTCATAAAATTCGGTTTGTAGAAGAAATTAATATTGGCTAATGGAAAATGTAAAAGAAATTAGTCGTTCTTATGCCTATTAAGAGACTGGTTTTGTTTGGTCGGTAAATCAACACTATATTATGTATTATTCCTATCTAATACCATTGTTTAAATAACAAAAACTTGACCTTTGAATTTCAAAAGTCCCTTTTCAAGGAGGAATTTTTTATTTGAATTTCCAAAGTCCCTATAGGACACATAATAAAATTTACTTGAAGAATCAAGAGTTTATCCTTTGAGTCTAGATTATTTTATTTTATTTTTTTGAATTTCACCCCCCCTGCCCCCAATAATTTCAGTTTGATATTTTTCTTAATTGGAGTTTCTTTTCAGTATTCTTGGCTTTATTAATTGGTTTTTTGATTTGGATACATGGTTTTGGTCTCTTGATCCTTCTGAGGTGTTTTCATGGAAATCATGTTTCAAATTTATGACTTATGCAATGAATAAATGGCTTTGGAAGTTCAAACTTCTTATAAGGTCAAATCTTTTATTTGGGTTGTGATGCTTGATTGAATCATATTGGGAGAACAATTAGAGGCTTAAAAATACAAAAAACTTGGGTTTTAACCACACAATGGAAGGTGAGTATATTTTTAATGTTATTCATGTCACAATAGGCTTTTCTGCCTTGCTTCATTCTATTCCTCTCGGTAAAAAATACAAAGCATTTATAATTATTAATGTGAATTGATTCTAATTCCTAATTTTTAGAACCTAAATGAGGAATCCTAAATACATACAATTAATAGGTTGAACTGAATCCTACTCCTAATCCATACAACTTAGGAAACAAGTATACATATAACAAATCACCAGATTCTTAGGGAAATATGAATGACTCAGCTAACTCCTTGCCTAATACCCCCCTTAAATTGACATGGGTGGTCAAGAAGCATCAATTTGCCAATGAGAAATTGATGACATCGATAGTAAACAACCTTGGAAAAGATATTTGTGAGCTAAAGTTAAGAGTTAGGGATAACATGATTTTCAAAGGCCCCAAGAATGGAATGATAGTCCACTCAGTAAGTTTGATGGGTTTATGGACGATTGAATTGACAACAGTCTGAATGGTACTAGTCTTGTTATCATAGAAGTGTGGCCTGGTTTTGAGGGAAGCCAAGTTCAGTTAAATAGACCACGAATCCCAATGAATTTAGGGCAAGTTGTAGACATGACTCAATATTCAGATTCAGTGGAAGACTTAGAGACTCCAACATACTCTATTTTTCAAATAAATTGATGTAGAACCATGAAACATCAACCTGTGAAAGATTTCTTAGTATTTGGGCAATATGCTGAATTTGCATCACTATAAACCCACTAAAGTAATAGGCGTTCTAGTAGGAAAGAACATCTTCCTGGTGAGAAGTATCTTTTAAGTAACAAATGATTCGTTGAAAATAGCTGACTGAAGGTGGTGAGACATGTGCATAAATTGGTAACCTGTTGCATTGCAAAGGAGATGTCAAGATGTGTGATGGTCAAATAATTAAGGCTGCTCACAAACTGACAATACAGGGAGTAGTAGATTGATAAAGTGATGCTTCTGGATAAGATCTTTTCTTTGATAAAGTAACAGTCTACTCAATGTGTTGAGGGATGAAACAAACTCTTCTCTTTCTTGAAAAAGATAGATTATATATGCATTTTAACCAAAACAAACTCTTGCTTAGTGTTTATGCTTCGAATTAAGAAATAATCAAATTCTTCTCTATACAAGCTCTTTCATCCGTTTTTACTCTCTTTATTCTTGCCTATTCTTATTCTAGTGGCATCGTGTAAAATGATAATATCTTGGAGTTACTATCTTAATAAAATGCATTTTAGAATGACATTCTATATTTAAGGTTGATCATAATTAACTACTAACTTAAGGATATGCCATACATTACTATATCTATCTACAGGGATGGATCCAAAAACTATAAGTGAATGGAGTTGAAAATAAATAGACTTCAATGTATATGTTATATATTTTTCATATGTATTAAAGATGTCTTCTTTAATTTATTGTTAGAGACTAATTTCTTTTAAGACAAATATATTACCGAAATAAATATAACCTCCTCCATAATCAATATACTCAAAGAACCTACGTATCTGCCCCTTGTCCCTTGGCAAAGCAAGCTATTCCACCCTGCCAAAGTCCACTTCAAAATGGATTAGCCTGTCTTGCCACCTAAAAATTTTCTAGAAAATTTAAAAATATAAAAACATATAAAAATAAAAAATATTAAAATAATGAACTTTTATTAATAACTAATTAATAGATAAGCATATTTTAATTTTAAGAAAAAGGTCTTGTTCTCCATTGGCTGGGATTAAATGGGATGAACTAGGCAGGCAATAGGTGCATAAATCCTAGCCTGGCCCATCACTTTTGGTGGGTTAAACAGGCTAACTTGTCGGGCAATGTTCATTTTGTCACCCCTAACTCGTTTCCTACCTGTTTATATGCCACAACAAATTTTTCAGCATTTGTTTTTCTCTACAAGGCATGTTAAGAAGAAAAGTTGGGAAAAAAGCATGTCTATGCGAGGCTATCATTGATATTCATGTTCATATTTTTATAGTTTAATCTTTTACTTATTAAATTTTTGGTTGGTTTAGCGTTCGAGTGGCAGATCAATTGAATTGACTTCAGAGACGGGAACAATGGTATGATTTTCATTTTGTGATTATTAGAAGACTTATAAATTTCAACTGCATGACTCTTTTCTATGATTATGTAAGGTGATTACAACCCACATATCCTTGATATCATAATTGTCTTTGTGAACTGACTCAATTGTTTTTTGATTGTGCAGTTTGTTTTTTTCACTGGTGGAATTGTGTTTTTAACACTTCTAGTGAATGGTTCAACCACACAATTCATTTTACACTACCTTGATATGGATAAATTATCAGCAGCTAAGGTTAGGCTTCTCTTGATATTCTATATTCAACTTATGTTCTTATTTTATGTGATGCCCTAATGTCTTCATGTTTTATTTTAGTCGTTAGTCTGTCTCTTGTTTTTTAAACTGAGAAAATACCTTGAAAAATATCTTTTATCGATATAATTCAGTGCTGTTCTTACAGTGAAGATGTATTTGTGAGCCAAGTATTATATCTTCTTAATGGGTTTGTAGTTACTCTGCCATTTTTGGAGTATTTGGGCTTCATAGCTATATATCCATTTTGTAGTTATATTAATTTGCAAACAAGTAAATGTAGATTGTGAGAAACAAAGGAAAGCTTCTGTGCTGCATAAATGCTTGTGATTGATTCTGAACGAAAATATCACTACATTGCCTGCTTCTCTTCTTTCTGAGTTATATTTGCTCTTGCCCTCATGTTTTGCACATGTAATAGCAGAAACGTATCCTTGAGTTTACTAAGTATGAAATGTTGAACAAAGCTTTGGAGGCTTTTGGTGAACTGGGAGATGACGAGGAACTTGGGCCTGCTGATTGGTCCACTGTGAAGAGATATATCTCCTGCTTAAATGACATTGAAGGTGAACGTGTTCACCCTCATGGAAGTGATAGTAACCTTGATCCTATGAATTTGAAAGATATACGCGTACGCCTTCTGAATGGTATGGGAACTTTTGCATTTGTATCAGTCCTTAAGAGTTATTTACCTTTATAAATTTTATCGTGTGTCAATTCTTTTAAGTTTTACAAAAGAGGGAACCTCATCCGGTCTGTGCCAGGTGTTTCTGTTTGATTAACTGCTTTAAACATTCTAAGCTTTTACAGTCCTTTAAATTAGTCTAAAAGTATAGGGAAAGACACATAATCATAAGACACTTGCATTTGTAAGGACAAATATATATTTTGGGATTATGGGTTGGATTTTTTCAATTTATTTGAAGCTTTTCATACAATCAATTATCCACCTTTTTATTTAGGAATTATATTTGAAACTTGTTCATATCAAGTATATGGTAACGTGCTTTCCATTAACTTTTCAGCTGTGCATCTTGTTTTCTGTTTTACTTTCATATTTTGTGGCATGTACAGTGCAATGAAGGGTAGGGTTAGAGATTGATCAATATTCTTAGACGTTTTCCCTCTTAAAAAATAACTTTGGGTTAATTTTTAAATTTCTAGCAACCAAGTTCTGCAGAAAAATCAAACTTAAACCTTCATATAGTCAAATTAAATTTTGATGGATGGATTTGTTATGGTGGAAAAACACCAACAATTATTCTTGGTGAATGTGTATGTTTCACTCAAGGCCTAAGTTAAGAAGATGGCACTGTTGTTTTCTTCTTGATGTATATATGACATTGCTTAATAAAGGTTGCTTTTGTTAACTTGTTAGTACCTTTTTGACAGGCATGCACATACACAGACAAATGCATTCTTAGTCTTTTGTTGGCTAAGACTCAGTTTGGGTGAGCTTGTGGATAAGTCCTTGTAGAGAAGGAAAACAATATAAAAAATGAATGAAACTTTTCCCATAAATTTAAAATAATTTGTCTCCTTAAATTTTGGAGAAATTAAATGAGAATAGCTTCTAAAAAATCAAGCAATATAAGTTAATTTTAACTTATAGGAGGAGTTTTATTCATTTTTTATATTGATTTTCTTTTTTTATAAGGACTTATGCATACCCAAACTACCTATGTCCTTTGATAAGCCAAGTTCTTATTTGCTAATACCATAAATTTGACTGCTTCAATTATGTCAATATCATGCCTAATTTGAGAACTTATTGCTCATATTAGGTGTACAAGCTGCTTACTGGGAGATGCTTGATGAAGGAAGAATTTCTCAAACAACAGCTAATATCCTAATGCTATCAGTGGAGGAAGCAATAGATTTGGCTTCATCTGAGCCTCTATGTGACTGGAAAGGTTTAAAAGATAATGTTCACTTCCCAAATTACTACAAGTTTCTCCACTCCAATATGTTCCCACCAAAGTTAGTTACATACTTCACCGTGCAGAGGTTGGAATCTGCATGTTATATTTGTGCTGCATTTCTCCGTGCCCACAGAATTGCGCGACAACAATTACATGACTTTATAGGTATAAGTCTACCTAAGTAGTTCGTCTACTTATCTTAATAATATTATTCCCAAATTTCAACGTTTCTTTCTTCTTCTTTTTTTGTATCTTTTCCATTTTCTTAAATCATCGTGTTGGTCAGATAACATATTCTTAATTATATTTAGGATCATTTATATTTATTTCCTCTGCATATACTTCTGTAGGAGACAGTGATGTTGCTACTGCTGTCATCAATGAAAGTGTTGTAGAAGGAGAGGAAGCACGGAAGTTCTTAGAAGATGTTCACGTAACATACCCTCAGGTTTGCTAGTTAAACATGCGCTCTGATGTTTTTGACTTTTAGTTTTAGTGGACTACTTGGATTAAGCCTGTGAATATCCAATTCATTGGTGTTTTTTCTGTTTATCAGTTTAAAGTTAGTTTTGCATCATATTTCTGGTCACGGTCTTAAAATAAGCTCTTTTTCTCAATTTTTCTTTATTATTATGAATGTCAAATTCTCAGGTTTTGCGTGTTGTAAAAACAAGGCAAGCAACATATATAGTGTTAAATCATTTAATTGAATATGTTCAAAATCTTGAGAAGGCCGGGATATTGGAAGAGAAAGAGATGCTACATCTCCATGATGCTGTGCAGGTATCGTGTGGTGATATTCATTCTTTCTGTTTATCTGTTATCTGATGGTTTAGTCTTCTATGAATTATAATTGGGTGTACGTCTATTAAATGTTTCATTTACTTTTCAGACTGATTTAAAGAGATTACTTAGAAATCCTCCTTTGGTTAAGCTTCCTAAAATGAGTAGTATACATCCAATGTTGGGTGCTCTTCCATCTTCAGTTCGTGAACCACTCGCAAGCAGTACGAAGGAAATGATGAAATTGCGTGGTTTGACACTTTACAAGGAAGGTTCCAAATCAAATGGTATTTGGTTAATTTCTAATGGAGTTGTGAAGGTATTATATTCTCTCAGAATGAAGCTCAACATGTAATTTCTGATTGTGCTTACAAAAGATGCATCTTTTAAAATTGCTGGTTTTCTAGTGGGAAAGCAAGACGATAAGAACCAAACACACTTTTTGTCCAACATTTACACATGGGAGCACGTTGGGTCTTTATGAAGTGCTGACTAGAAGACCATATATCTGCGATGTCATCACAGATTCTGTCGTATTCTGCTTTTTTCTTGATGCTGACAAGATAATATCGTGTCTCAAATCGGACCCTTCAACAGAAGACTTCCTGTGGCAGGTAAGATTAATTCATTATTGCTATTACTGCTTTGACATTAATGACTTCTGATTGCTTATGTCACTGCATTCTGAAATTCTGGCATTCATTGTCAATGAATTTCACAAGTTCCTTAACACAACAGGAATTCTGTTTATTAAGGATATCATAGGTCATAAAGATATGTCTTGATGTTTATGTTTGGTGCTGTTGAAGACATAAAAATGATTGGACTTCTGGTCGCAGTCACACTTACATTAAAATTATCTTGATTTGCAGGAAAGTGCAATTTTCCTTTCGAAAATATTGCTTCCTCGGATATTTGAGAAACTGGCTATGCAAGATTTACGAGCTCTTATTGCAGAGAGATCACAGATAACCATATACATAAGAGGGGAAACAATAGAAATCCCTCATCATTCAGTTGCCATCTTACTAGAAGGGTATGTCAAAACTCAAGGTCATCAAGAACTCGTAACAGCACCAGCAGCCCTACTTCCTTCACATGGGAATCGAAGCTTCCAAAATTTGGCAAGTTCAGGTATTTGAGCTTAAATTAATGCCGCCTCTAATATTTTTCCCTGTCTGAATACTGATTATTTGAGTTTCCATTAAGTCAGCTGATCAGGAGACTTGGGATTTTATATGGTTTGGTAATACTAAGGCACAAGGAGGTGGAATTTAAGTGCAAATATCATAACTAGGCTGAATGAGGAAACTAAGTTTATCGAAGCAGAAGCAGCAGTTCTGTGTATTGACAATTTGCTATGCTGTTCTGAGAAAAAAAGTGACTTGAGAGCATTTAGGCACGACATTTCTCAAGTTTTTTTTAACCAATCGTTATTTTTCTTCTATTTTCTGCTTTCTCTATTTTGATGGTGTCTGTTAAGGACCAACTCGTTCAAAAGCTTTCTTTTGGTGGAGGCCTAATAATAATTCATATGATCTCTCTGGCACACCTCTTGCATGAACCATCTGGGCTTGAAGCCTGAACATTGTACTTGCCCTCTTACCTTGTCACTTAGTCATAGAAACCCTAGTAATTTTTAAAAAGCTTAAATGTCAAGTGGAGGCCCATTGGCCCAAAAATGGTTTTACTATCATTATAACTTCTACAGTATCAGTCAAAATTTTATGTTTGCTAGCATTTCATAATGTATTATTTATTTCTAATTTGATCATTATGTTTCCTTTTCCTTGGCTAGTTACCCTCATAATGCCCACCCAACCTTTTCTGATTCAGTGCATGGGAAACTGTTAAGTCTGATCGTGGACGACAATAATTTTGATCAAACCTTTACTTTCAATTATACCAGGTTCTAAGGAAGATAGTTTTACTCATCAAGTATCTAGTTATCTAGTTGAAACTAGAGCAAGGGTTATTGTGTTTGACATCGCAGCATTTGAGGCTGATTCTGCTCCTGTTAGAAGGTCAAGTTCACTGTTATCACATGGTGCAGATCATCCCCATAGATCTTTACGTAGAGAACATAGTGGTCTTATGAGTTGGCCTGAACATTTCTACAAGCAGAAGCATCATAAGCAGAGATCTGAAGGGAGACAAACCAATAGTATGTCTGCAAGGGCAATGCAGCTCAGCATTTATGGGAGCATGGTATGTCAGTGTAGAATAACATTTGCTCCATTGAAGTTTTTTTTTTTTTTTTTTCAATTTCATTAATTCTTCTTTCCAAATTTGATTGATCAGTTATACAAAGAATATAGCTTTCTTGCAGGGTTTTCAAAGGAGAATCTACCTTCTCTTTTATTTCTCTTGCTTAAGTTCATGCTAAAATCTATAGTTGCCAATATATGCCCCAATAGTACATGGTTAATTAATTAGGCACTGAAACTTGTGGATCTGGTCTAGCACGGATCATTAATATGCACGAGTGGAACTTCCTGAAATAAGTGATTTAATATCACAAAGGAATTCGCCCAAAGTGAAATTACCTGTAAGGTGATTTTCTTATCAACTGAGAGTTCTCACCATTATCGATTCACCTAGGCCTACACTGGAGATAACTGACTATATGCAAAGCTCACTAACAATCAAGTTACTATCTCAAATTCCTATAATCTTTATTTGGCTTGCACTAGCAATGTTGTGATAAGAAGCTTTATTTTGTTTTATGCATTAATTATTATCATTTTCTAGGTGAATGTGCCTCGCTGGGATAGAAGTTGGTCGAGTAATCAGGCTATGCGACCTCATAGCTTGTCTTATCCAACCATTGCATCACATGAAGGCCGTCAACTGGTGTCAGTCAAATCAGAAGGAGCTGCAACTGCCAAGAAGGATCATGAGGTGAGGGAGTTCACGAGGAATGTTACAAATCTCCCTTCACAAAGCACAGAACGAAGAGAACATCATCATGGAGATGATTCAAGCGATGATTCTGCTGTTGAAGAAGATATTATTGTGAGGATTGATTCACCAAGCAGGCTATCTTTCCGCTAGTCTTGAGGGTGAAGAGGTGAAAATTCTGTTGTGATTATTTTATGTTGTGTAATAAATATGTTGCTTCTATATCAACAACATTGTACGTTAGAACAAACCGTTAGAATACACCATAACAGTGGTCATGAAAGCTTTCAAAAGCTTTTTTGTTTGTTTTTAATAATTAAAAAATAAAAGTATATGGAAAAGGGTGTTCTTATTTAAGTTTTAAAATAGTCCTAAAAATGATATAAAATTAGAAAAAGCATAAACATCTTCAAGATGTTCTCAAAATCTCATCTTGGGGGCTTTCTTCTTTTCGTCGACCGTGGTTACAATTTTATGGTTAAGCAACCTCATTAATGTTCATAACAAATTCAACACCATCACCCAATCCTCTCACGAGTTTAAATACAAATTCAACACGCAAATTGACTTATAAACCTTGAGACCAACAAAATGTTAATGATCCAAGTAACGTGGGACTTGGTTCCTTAATAACTTACGAAATACATCCATAATAGCCAATAGCATCATCACTTGTTAGGCAGTTGCTTGCGTGACCCTTGTCATTTGTCAGCACTTAACTAATGATTTTTCCTGTCCCTGCGGTCTTCAATGCAAATCTTCTCTGGTTCATGTGCGATAAGAGATGGGCTTGTTAGAGAGAGGAAGAGACACGAGAGAAGAATAATATAATCAATGAGTTTTACAACTGATTATGGTGGTTCTTTTCTTTTGTCTTTACCGAGAGGTTTTATATCTGGATGCAAGCTAGTTAAATGATAGGATTCATCTATCTAAGTCCTTATAATGTGTGAAATAAGTGGGTTTAGAGAGCTAATAGAACAACTTAAAAAAGTGTACCAATCTATATTCAACAACACTACGAGAAAAACATTTTTGGATAAATTTGTAATCGAATGTCTCCTAGCGAATAAATCATTGATAAAAGATATGTATGCTTGGAGTTTAAGTTCACGAAAATGTCAGTTACTTAAAAACTTACAGAGAACTTTGTTAGCCATTACAGTTCTATTTAACTTGACCTAGATTTGTTGAATATTCAATATAGTATATAGATATTAACGGTTTTAGAAAGAAAAAAAAAAACTCCTTTAAAAAATTACATCCTAACATTCCTCTTAATTCGTAGTAAAATTTTCTTTCTCAAATTAATATTTCTTAAACACAATTTTTTGTTGCTTTTAAAACCTTATATACGTGCGTATTGCCTATAATTATTTTTTCACCCACAGATTAAAAATATATTTTAGGGAATAACCTATAATAAACTTTATATGGTTAATATAATAATAAAAAAATATATGCACGTACATCGCATGTGTGTTTAGTCTTATTTTTAAGAGATGATTATTTATTTTTGTAAGCTTTCAAAGATAATTTTTTTAAAAAAAATTGAGCAATTATTTCTTAAAAATTAAACATTTCCAAACATGCACTCCATTTATACAAAATCTAATTAACAATATAAATTAATGTGAATAAATGATATTTTTTATTTCCTTGGACATTTTAATCAGCAAATATAAAACAAGCAACGAATGAATTATCGGCATAGATAACAGTAATAACAACAGGTTATCAAAACATACCCTTGATTTCATAAAAAACAAATATACATAAATAAAAAAGGGAAAAGAAAAAGTACCAAACTTTGTTTTCTTTTTTCAATAAATTTGGCGAATTACCCAAAAATTGTAGTGAATAAATTGGTAGTTGTCTTGTCTTTGCTCGTTGGTTTATTTGTTATCTATCTGATCTGATCGTGAAGATAGAAAGTGGAGAATGGGGTTGTGGTCGTTGCTTGTGGCGATTCCATTTCTGATCTCTTTGCTGGGAACCCACGTTAGATCCGACGCCTCCGATCATCGTTACAAGGATGGAGAACTCGTTCCTCTCTACGCCAACAAAGTCGGTCCCTTTCACAACCCCAGGTTCCGATCCCCCTTTTAGGGATTTCTTCTCCAACACTTGCTTTCACCCCTTTTACATTTTGGGTCATCTTCAAAATCTGATCTTGTTTTCATTTTCGTGTTTAATTGCTATCACATTGCCACGTTAGTAGTTTCTTACGAGGTTGTAACAGTTACAGTTACAGTTTATATTCGTTCTGATTTCTCATTTAATTATTTAATTGTTTATTTGTTTGTTTGGTTGGTTTCAGTGAAACGTATCGATACTTTGACCTGCCGTTCTGTGTAACGGGTAACTTTCTGAATTTATGCTTCAGCTTTTTTGTTTTTTATTGCTATCTTAAATCAAACTTTGTTATTTGTTTTAGTCCCAAGTTATTTATGTGTCTCTTTTTAGTTATTATTGCAAAAGGGTGATAAGGTTTAGGCATGCGTGAGATTTTAGTTTAGCTTAATAGACCTTTTATGTTTTATCTTTGTTGGGTGTTTCAGTTTTAGCAAGGGACAGAATACTAGACTGGTCATTGTCTTTTTTCTAATGGAATCATTAGTCGTTGATGGATCTGAACAAATATGTCGATTTGTAGCTCTGTTTGATGAATTTTCCAATTTTCTATACTTTTATGGGTCCTTGTTGTATTTCTTTTTAAAATCAGTACATCTAAATGCCAGGTCACGAGAGAGAAAAGACTGAGGCACTTGGCGAGGTGTTGAATGGTGATCGCCTTGTTAGTGCTCCTTATGAACTTAATTTCAGAACGGAGAAGGACTCAAAGGTTGTGTGCAAGAGAAAGCTGACGAAGGAGCAAGTTGCTCAGTTCCGAGAAGCAGTTAAGAAGGACTATTATTTCCAAATGTATTATGATGACTTACCAATCTGGGGATTTATTGGAACGGTTGACAAAGAAGGAAAAACTGATCCTAGCGAGTATAAGTATTTTCTTTACAAGCACATTCAGTTTGATATTCTGTACAACAAAGATCGAGTGATTGAAATCAGTGCCCGGATGGATCCTCATTCTGTGGTCGACCTCACTGAGGATAAAGAAATTAATGTTGATTTTATGTATACTGCAAAATGGAAGGAAACTGATACTGCTTTTGAGAAGAGAATGGAGAAATACTCTCAGTCTTCATCTTTACCGCATCACCTAGAAATTCACTGGTTCTCAATCATAAACTCCTGTGTAACAGTACTTCTTTTGACTGGTTTTCTGGCAACTATTCTCATGCGTGTATTGAAGAATGACTTTATGAAGTACGACTTGCTTGCTCATTTATCATCAATTCATCATATTGTCATCTTATTTCCTATAACATTATTTTATTAATATTTTTTTTCCCTTGTTTCTTGTTTTTATATGCTGTAATGTTCTCCAGATATGCTCAAGATGAGGAAGCTGCTGATGATCAAGAGGAGACAGGATGGAAATACATTCATGGTGATGTTTTCCGGTTTCCAAAGTACAAGTCTTTGTTTGCAGCAGCCCTTGGTTCTGGTACTCAGTTATTCACTCTGTAAGAATCTTCTGATGGCTCTTTTTCCCTTCTGTGTTGAAGCTTTTTTTTCTCCCCTAAATTATGTACTTCACTGAACGTTGTTCTCTATTTTTTCATGCTTGTGCAGTACAATCTTCATTTTTATGCTTGCACTGGTTGGTGTATTTTATCCATATAATCGAGGAGCATTATTTACTGCACTGGTGGTCATATATGCTCTCACATCTGGCATAGCTGGCTACACCGCTACTTCCTTCTATATTCAGCTTGAAGGGTCTAATTGGGTACATATGGACTCCTTGCATTGATTATTGTTCATGGTTTGATTGTATTAATTTATATAATTCTTGTGAAATGGAATTGAATGACTTGTACATTTTTTTTCCTTTCTGGCAGGTTAGAAACTTATTGCTGACTGGATGCCTCTTTTGTGGCCCCCTTTTCCTTATGTTCTGCTTCCTTAACACAGTTGCAATTGCTTATAGTGCAACTGCTGCTCTTCCATTTGGCACAATTGTGGTGATTGTCCTAATATGGACATTGGTAACTTCACCATTGCTTGTGTTAGGTGGCATTGCAGGTAAAAATAGCAAAGCTGAGTTCCAAGCACCTGTCCGCACTACAAAATATCCCCGAGAAATTCCCCCTCTGCCTTGGTACAGGAGTACCATTCCCCAGATGGCAATGGCAGGGTTTCTCCCTTTTAGTGCCATCTACATAGAGCTGTACTACATTTTTGCTAGTGTATGGGGCCACAGAATTTATACTATCTACAGCATTCTCTTCATTGTCTTTATTATTCTGTTGATTGTCACTGCTTTCATCACTGTGGCTTTGACATACTTTCAACTTGCTGCTGAGGATCATGAATGGTGGTGGAGGTATGTAACTTGTCTTATTGCCTCCTTCTACTATAGTTGTTTCACTTGTTTGAGAATTTTGAGTTTGTATAGTATTATTCTCACTGTAAAATTTTTGTCTATGCTTGTATCACTAATTCTTAGTTTTCCCATTGTTTATTCTTGTGCTAAAGGAAGTTGTCAATGGCTCTGGAAAGATCTGGAAAGAGGAAAAAAAACAAATATAAGTTGGAAGCATATTTACATTTTTACTACAATCATAGAAACAAGAAATAACTTTCGTATCTAAGTAAAGGTTAAAGCACAAACCCTCCTTAACACTATTATTGGATCATAATTCTAATTAAACAAACATTGGAATATGAGGAAATGTGGGAAACTAATCCTAAGCAACAACAAGGAAATATGAGAACCAATCCTATGAGATAATAAGAAAATATGGAAAGTACTTATTTATCTCAAGTTTATTGTGTCCAAATAGACTTCCTTTTTCCCCTTCTAATATTCTAACACTTAAATTTGAGCTAAAGCTTAACTCAATCCAAAAAACTAGCTTGTAAGATGAAGAATGTTTTAACTTTTATAAGTTTTTATTTAACTGTATTTGTAGGTGATGTGAAATTTAAACATATCCCCCACACTCAAGATTGAACATCTAGAGTGTGAAAATTATAGGACTGGAATTTTTTTTTGTAATATTGCACTGGGAAACCGTGAAGGTCTGGTAGATAGCACTGGAAAAGTCGTGAGACCAAGTAAATTGCACTGGGAATTTCATGGAATTAAGTTAATTGCACTGGAAAAATCTGTGGGCCCAAAATTTTTTTTTTCAGTCTAGGGTGGTAGATATTGGATTTATGATAGAATCTTATACTATGTTAAATTTGCAATTAAGCTTAATTTAATCCCAAAAACTAACTCATAAGGTGATAATTGTTTTAACTTTTATAAGCTTTTATTTAGTCATATTTATGGTTGATGTGAGATTTCAACACTATTTAATCAAACAAATAGATCCTTCCTATGAAATCATAGTGACACTACTTTTTCTGCATAGGTAGGACTAATGGGTGGCATTGATAAGATTTTTGTTGATGGTATAATGGAACGGAATGTACCCTAGAATGTTTAGCTTATTTAGGAATATATCATTCCTAAATAATAACCTTTTTTATGGCAAAAGCTAAAGTGAAAAAATTTTGTTGGAAAGTGTATCAACACACTCCTATTGTGATTTTTAATGCAATCAAAAATTTATTATTAATTAATTTTTAACAAATGCTTTAAGGCCACTGATTAGCTGGATCATTTTTTTCAGTTGCCCGCATATCAATCTCATTATATACAATGCAACTGTAATTTTTTTTTATTTTAATTCCCCTTTTGAATGACATTCTTTAGTATATGTTGCAGCTTGGCCTGTCTAGGATTTTGGAAGCCTAGGGGGCCCTAAATGTCTTGGCCAACGCCCAAACCTAACTAAGTTTTGGCTCATCTTAAGGGTTGGGCCGGCTGAGCACATGAGCAGTGCTAGGCATGGCCCATGGCTAAACCTATGTTAAGATATCTTTGTTTAAATTTGGAAAAGAAAAAATGAAAACTTAGTGAATGAATTTGACAAAACTTTTGTAAAGAAAATGCTTTTTGGTCCAAAATTTCAGAAAATATTACGAAGGTTTTAGTTTAGTATCATTTTTATGAATAATGGCAATTTTTCCAAGCAGTGATATAGATGGAAAACCAAGTTTACAGAGAAAGTTGGAAAGACACATGACAAGATAAACTTGTAAAAAAAGAAACAACCAAGGATATTTTTCAAAATTTTGTTTAGGAAGATTATTTTGCTGCCATTTTGGACCAGGTCTGGGCTGATCACATGCCCAATTGACCGAAAATTTTAGGTCTGAGCCCATACTGATGTTGGCATAGGACAGACCCATCCTTTGTTCTGGTGGCTGGTATTGGAAGCCAATCATGGAATTTCTTGCAGTAACAATTTTCCTTCTGCTGCCAAGATGTGTTTTTTTAAGCCAATAGTAATTATTTTCTCAACTTTTTCCTTTTCTATGACTAAATGACGTTATGAATCTTTTAAAGGTAGAGGCAGTTTAAACATTAGATTCTGCATTTTGCTTTCAACATGGACGTTTTCTTCTTGATATTGATGTTTGTATGTGTTTTCCATAGGTCTTTTCTTTGTGGCGGATCAACTGGGTTGTTCATCTATGGCTATTGCTTGTATTATTACTATGCACGATCAGATATGTCTGGTTTTATGCAAACTTCGTTCTTCTTCGGTTACATGGCCTGCATCTGTTATGGCTTCTTCCTCATGCTTGGTAGTGTAGGTTTCCGTGCCTCCCTGCTCTTTGTTCGTCACATATACAGGTCCATCAAGTGTGAGTAGCTGGTGGCTGAACGTGTGGTGAAGTTTATATTGTTTCTGTTAGGTGAAAAGAAAAGGGTCTATGATTTTTTGTTTCCTGTCATAAGGTAGGTTATATAGTGTACCTGGGAACTAGAGAAGCGTTGATTCCTTTCATACATTGGTGTCATGCTTACTCTTTTAACTGCACAGGTTTGCACTTGAGGAAGATTTTTGGAACCATGGTTTAATCTTTGATTACTGTAGTCACTGAAATTTATTTGAAGTAGCTTGTGCTAATCAATTTGCCTGTTCTTAAACTGACCGTTTAATATGATTATGCTGACCTAACTAGATGTTCTCATATGGTTTATAATGACGTAGAAATAAGTTGTACTCAGCAAATATGAATCTTCTATACCAGCTAAAATATGGTTTGAATAGGAGGCTGGTTTTTATCAAATAACCTCATGTTTTTAACAAGTAAGAAATATAAAATTTTGACTTGAGTTGAGTAAACACCTCAAACTCATTTTGGATTTCAATTTGTCATTTTAACCAATAAGTTGAAATTTACAATGTCATTATTTTTTTATTTTTTTATTTTTGGGGGGTTGGATGTATGCAATTTTTTATTTTGAAATGTCGCACTTGTTGGAATGTTATTTGGAAGTCTTGCACAAGATAGTTGATATCTGATTTTGCATTTAAGTTTAATTCTTTGTTGAGTGGCGAAACCAAAATCATGACTGCCACGAGAACCGGTATTGCATGATTCCCTCACTTGGATTGAAAAACCAACTTAAAAATTGAGTTAGCAGCCGCAAATATCAATTGTGTTTTACCCAATTTAGCAAATGTTTGATTTTGTGCTCAAACAATAACTTGTCTGAAAAACACAACACAAACAATTTTTCACTATCGTTTCTTTACAATTTCTCTAAAATTCAACTCAATTGTTCATGAATTTCCTTTGAATAAGTTTCAACACTCGGAATTTGAAGCAAAAGTCAATGTGTAATAAATTTCTTATTAACAAGATGCCCAACGATCCCTGTCACCTCTCATAGTTTTTGTCAACTTGCGACAATTGTTTTATAAATGCATATATGTTTATTTTTCAGAACGGCATATCCACCAATTGGCTCTTTTATGCTGCGTCACCAAAGTAATATTTGTTTAAAGCATGGTGAAAGAGAAAACGATATGACAAAAAGTATGAGCTTTAAGCTAAGTAAAGCAAATTAATGATTCTTCTTCTTCACTTTATAACGAAGTGGGGTATTACATATACGAAAAGGCCATCATAAGTCCTTCCCAATGAACCATCTTTTATACTGCAATTGTTGCAAGCTAAGAAAATGCAGTGACTACTTTATTTTTCTCTTTAATAAACAGTTATCAACCCTTTCTTTTGTCAACTCTGGGAAAGAAAATTCCCACCACTTGCACGTATAAATTCTAAAGCCCTATTGCAATTATTTGGAATAGAGCCCCTTAATTAACTTTGTTATAAGGGAAGACAGAATCCCGTTTGGGATTTCAAGGGTCCCTAATATGATGGCCTTAGCTCTATTGTTCCTAACGATCACATACATTGATAAAATAACAAACACCGATAATCACATACACAAACACACGATACAAGTATATTTAAAAATATAAATCCAAAATTTAAATTAATATAGCATTTCTGTGGACCCAATTAATATATAATTTCTAAGACAATGAAAAAAAATTAAACCAATCGTCAATCCTATAATAGTCAACTTTACAATATATGTATAAAGTTAATGCATTTACTTGACTAATATCCAGGACAGTTCGGAATGTGTTGTTTTTACTTTAGTTGATTTTCAATCTTTTAGCTTTTTAGCTCGATAAATTATTAGTATCTAGTTTTAATTAAAGTGATTCAGTTTCCAATTGTTCTAATTACACAACTACGGCATTCGTATTCTATATTATAACGATGAGGAACACTCAAATAAGTTAAAGCCATATTTACCAAATTTGTTTTTAACTTGGTTAATCAATCTATTTTCCTGGTGAAATAAGTTTCAGACAGACGAAAAGGAAGAAGTCAACTTGAATATAATCAATAATTGAAGGAGATAAAGAAAACACAAAAGCAAGTATACATGAACGGATATTTATCATGTCCAAAATCAAAGATATTATACCATCATTGAGTATGACAAAAATATAATGTGATGGGTATGAAAAAGTCATAAAGAATGCGAACACACTATCCAACAAAGGACTAAGTCTTACACGCCAAGGGAATTATCTTTTTATGATTTGAAAAGGGCATTCATGGTTACATTTTCTTTGCAAAGATTCACAAAATGACATGAATGGGGGAGGGAAAGAGGGAAAATATTGGGATTGGAGAGACAAAAGATGATATGGCTTTTGGGCCACAATCAATGATTTGGATTCTTTGAGGAAAATCCCATTAGTGGGAAGTGATATGTCAGTCGGTCCCTGGCGTGCCATGGACGACAATTTGGTCTTACCCTTACTCCTTCCATATTTGCATCAAAAGTCCCATTCCTTTGGGACCCTCTCAAAGGCTAAATATACTTCAATACATTCCAAATATATAAAATAAATAGTGCCATTCAATTTAGCTTCCATTCCACATTTGTGACCGAATATATGTACAGTTTCAAAAATTTAATCTACCTTGCAGACCTTGTTGGCAAACTCACACCAACTCAATTCATCAAGCTTCTCCAAATCACCTAAAGTTTGTCAAATTTTCAAAGTTTCAATCAAATAAAAGAGAAAGCCAAAGTTATTGCTTCTAAATTTAAAGTACGACTTTCTTTAGTGTGTTTATTTATGAAATTAACTCTTCATTTTCCATCCTCTTTAAACCCTTAATTTATTTCTTCAAAAAATGTTTCCTAGACACTTCTAAGTGTATGCATGCATACCTAGAAAAAGGTAAGCAACGAAGAAAAAGGAATAATAAATGCATGTGATAAGTATTGTAATATGATAAGATAAGAAAAATAGACGATAAATGAATGATGATACTGTTGAAGTATTTATACATTAAAACTAGGCTAATCATCCATGTACAGTAGACCACATATGTTGTTGTTAATTATTAAAGCCCAGGGGTTATATACCCAACATATATTTCTTTTGTAACACACTCAAAAGTATATTGATTGAAGCCATGCCAACAAGCAACCAAGTTGAACTAGTTCTAGTTGAGTGAAATCCTACCTGAAGCTCCTCCTTATGCTATAGCCAACTAATTAATGAAGAGTCCAAATCTGAGGATTTACATCATAAAATTGATCCTACGTTGCCCAAATGATAAAATGAGGATCATTGGATCAAACTAAAATATTGCAGAAAAGCATGACAATGGGATTTCTCAGCATACCAGGATACGAAACTGAATTTAGATATATAACAAAATAAAAAATCATCCATACGACATGATTTCATTAGCTACTATTTTGATGAATACTATTTATGAAGCATTATATATGTGCATATTTTTAATCGTGTAATATTTTTGGTTTTAAATACATACACAAACTACTCTTATTATTAAATAAAAAGATGTGTAGCAGTATAGGTATGTTTTATACTTCTATATGTTTCTTTCGTTTATTTCAAACTATTTACAATAGAGGAATGCCTTTTGTTCCATTAGATTCTTAGTTTCACAGGGTACGAGAAATATCTCTCTGCTGTGACCGGAAACCATATAACAATATGTCGTAGTTAAGATTGAAGTTCTTTGAATATGAAACCCATATGTAAATGTTAGTTTTCTAAACTTTGAAAAAATCATTAAGATTTGACTTTATACGATATGTATAGAAAAACAATCATTAGAAGAGAATATATTCACTTCAGTAATTTCTATCTCAAAATAGATTAACTTTCAACAGTTAATTGAAAGGTCCAAAACAAAAAATATAGATATAAATTAAGAAAGCACAGACTTTTTTTCAAATCAGAAAATACACACAGCATTGGATCATGGTAAGATGATTTTCTCATGAAAGTGCGAATTTCTATAAATGTTACAACAAAATTGTTGTTTTTACTAAGGAGATTGAATCCCTCAGTTATGTTGTTTTGAATTTTATTTATTTATCAACTTAATTTTTATTTGTTTGATGGAAGTGAAATTGAAGAATTGAGTTGTACATAGGAAAGTAATCCCTCACTATGATTACGAATGGGTCAGCATATTGAAAAGTAATAATAGTAAGTATAATTATCACACAGTTTCCCCGTAACATCAAACTCTCTTCGTCAAAATGCAATCCTTCAATTTCATAATAACAAAGCTCCTCTCTCTCTCTTCCCTATTTCTCATTCTGATTCTATAGAACTTTTTAAAAGATATCCAAAAGAAGAAAAGGAAGAGAAAGACAACCTTATTGTTAAAAGTTCAAAATTATAAAAACTAATTACTATATTATATCAGAAATTGAAGAGAGCATTCCTCATTGATCATGTTAGATTACGTTTATTTGTTTCATATGAGACATTTCATATGCAATTAAGAATATAAATACTGATCGCTGCTTTAGTTTTATGAAAAATATCTACAAGAACATGGGTTCTCATATTATATCAAAATCTGTGTGTAAGGCTCTTGTCTAAGAGTGTGGATAGAAGAGTGAGTTAGGGAGTATTTTGAATGTCCTGCTGCCCATAAATGGCTTGACATTTTACACTGACACTTCTCTTATTTATATTCTATTTTATTTGTTTTTAATCCATCTAGAATTTATTTTATTTATAATATTGTTTTTGAGATTTTGATGATAGTATAAACTATCTTATATATAAATAAGATTTTATTGCATCTCATTATATTTCATTCGTCTTTAGATATTAAAAAATTATATTTTGTTAATATTGTTTTTTAATCAAAATTACAGCCTTTGATAAGTAAGCGTTAATTTTTAATATCACTTTTATTATATAAATTATTGTAATAAAATTTTATATTTAAATAAAAAAATAAAAGAAAAACACCTAAAATATTATATTTAAATTTATCATTCAAATAAAATTTAAGACTGTTATTTATTTTATTTAAATAAATAACCATCGTTATTTTTACCTTTCTCTTTATATGCAAGTTTGTCGTAAAAGTGAGAGATAAAAAGAGATGACGTGACTTGTATCTATATAAGTTATGCACTTATTTTTATATTGTTAATTATTAATAATTTTATATAAAATATGAATTCAATTTATCTTACTCTTAAATTATAACTATATATTATATTAATTATTTATATTATAATTATAAAAATTGAATAATAACAAAAATATGATAAAAATAGTCTCAATTTAT